AGATGATGTTTATATGTTGGTTACAGAATTTCTGAAATGAAATGTGAACTGAGTCATATTTTTAAAAGGGTTATATGCTAAAAATTAAAACAAAAATTACAGTCTCAGTAACTTTCTCAGTACTTTGACACAGTAATGTCTGCTTCAATATTTACACCTCTGATGAAATTTCACAAGTGTTAGCTTTATTTTGATACCAAGATTGTAAGGACAGAGTTTGTAATTGCAGAGACATAATCAATTAAATTTGGGCATTACATTTTCAAGCAGGAATCTCAGAAACCCCCTTGGGGCTTAAGAGGTTAAATTGTATACCCTTTCGTCACCTTCATGGACAAAAACTGAAAACGCACAAAATCTGCCATAAAATTGGCAGACAATATATTTTTGTCTTTTTTTCATTAAGTTCTTAATCAACTTGAGATCTTTTCAAAATGATCACACATTAAGAGATTTACAGCAATTTTCAGATGATTTAAGATATTTTAAAATGACAGTTTAAACATTTTAATTATTAATTGTTTGTTGAAGTGTTTATTTTGCATATAATACATAGTAGGGGCAAGGGACACTGGTGGTGATCCGAGTCTTGGACATGTCAAAGATCAGCAACAAAACTGATTTGATTGTAATGTTATTGTTTTGTGAAGTGCAATGGAGAATAATGCCCTGTTCATGTCCACTGAAACCACTTTTTTTAATCTCTCTGCCAACACGGTATAAAACAATGCATTTTGTATTGTCAGCTTTTAATTTTAAGGAAAAGCATTTGACATTTTTTTTACTGTATTCTACCAGATCTAACCATTTTGCTACTGTAGGCCAATGCATGAAATTCTTGTATATTTGTCAGTTATATTATGGAGCCGTGTGTGTGTGTGAAACAATTTTCAAATCAATAGTTCAGATTAGTGTACAGTGTTTGCTGTAAGTGCCCATTTATTTCAATTATACATTAAGTTTTATAATAAAGAGTTGAATTTATATTTTAATGTGTTCAAGTATGTTTAGTAATTTATATTTTAGTAATTTAGTAAGTTCCATTAAGAGGGGACCCAACATATTTAAACATTTTTAAAAGTAACGCGATAGTTACTTTTCCTGGTAATTAGATATATTGTGATAATATTGTGACTCAGTTACTAACTTAGTTATTTTTTTGAAGAAGTAACTAGTAACTATAACTGATTACTTTTTCAAAGTAACTTGCCCAACACTGCTTACAGGACAGACACAATAAACATATGATTTAAAGAATATAATGCTGGACATTAAACAGAATATAAAGTATAAAGTATTTAATATGAGCTCAAATGTAAACATATACAGTAATATTTATGCATCATGTGTAGTGACGTGTTTTCACAGTGTTTGATTGCATTTTTTAAAAAAAGGAATAGTTTGAAAACTTCCTACACCACTTGCCATTACTAGCTGATAGTAAATAATTGGTGGTAACATAGTAGATATTTGTCTAACTACAGAATAATATTTTACAAATCTTCAGCCACTTAGTAGTGCCGAAGTAGTGTGTATATTAAAATTTAATAAAGTTTGAGTCATAAGTAGTGCCGAAGGGAAAATGATGTGTTTTTATTAGATCAAATTTAACTTTTGGTAAACAGTGAAGGAAGGTTTTTGTGCAACTGTATTGTAAAATAGCATACCATTAAATGCACTTGTCACCAGCATCAATTACAACTTAAATGAAAAAGGAAAGAGAAATTCTGAAGGTTTTCCCATGTTGTGCAAGATTATGAGGAATAAATATCAGGAGTTATTTCTGAACAGCCTGCAGAGCTGTCCACAGAACAGATCAGGATCATGATGCTCCCTGCTCTCTTATCTGCTATCAGTGAGGCCTAAGGTCTATATACTGTTCAGGTTGCAGTGTAAAACATATGTAAGGGCACTCATACTACAGCTAAAGCTAGTATGATTCTCTTACTCTTTGTTCCCTTGTGATACAAGTTTAGTAAGGTTATTAATAAATAGTTATATTATGGTGCATGACCCGCACTGAGTGTTGGGGCCACTTAACTGAAGCCCCTGCATCATTTTAGCCTTGTCACACTCTGCTATGATATCAGAAAGATATAAACATGAATGAAGTACATATTTAGTGTGGCTGATCTTCTTTTCCATCTGATGTACCAGTGAATTAGTCATCAGTGGTCTTAGAAAATTGAGCAACCATGGCTTTGTTCACTGCTACTGTACATGTATGATCAAAGATTGACACTGACTAATACAATGAAAAACCACACTTATTCCCCATGAAAGAGCCAGAAGCACAGAACAATTCAATATACTTATTTCCACTTTATTTGCAAATGCATTGTAAATTTGAATGAAAAAAAAATAGACATGAAATGCATGATACATTCAAATCCATACAGTATGTATGAATACTGTAAGTATTCTTCATTACTTTTGGGATAATGTAGAAGATCTAATGTTTAAAAATATTCTCATTATATCTGCTGTAACAAAGAAACAGCTGAATTTAAAGCCACATTTTCACACACTACAAATATTACATATAACACTTTTTAAACTTTTTCTTGTTACATGAAATGTTATACAAAAGCTTTAATAAAAAAAATATTCGATTGTAAAGAACATGAATACTTAATGTAGTAAAAGAAAACATTAACTCTATAACTGTCACGGTCCTGGGTCAGTGACCCAGTGTTTTCTGTTTGTATTATTATTCCTTGATTTCATGTGTTGTTGCGGGTCTCTTGGTTTTGGTTTCTGTCTTAAGTATTCCTAGCTATTTAGTTCTTTAGTTTTTTCTGATTTCTAGTTCTTAGGTTTTGGTTCTGCGTCTCCCAGTTTTTTGCCCTGTGTGTCTATCGTTGTGTGAGTTCTTGTGCCATGCTTCCCCTTGTGTTTTTTGCCGTTGTTTATCGGGTTTATCAGGTTTGTTCTTATGTTTGTTCTGTTTTTGACTTATGCCTGCAATAAAGCAGTGGACCTTGAGTTTAAGTTCTGCCTCCACAAGTCTGCATATTGGGTCCTTTTCCTGCCTGCCTGCCACGCAGCCTTATGATGACACTAACTTATTGTACAATGTTAGGGAGAAAATCACAAACATTAAAATGAAAACACTGGCACAATCATTGCATGAAAATGTCATTAATGAACCTTTTAGAAATTTGCCTCCCTTAGAACATGATTTAATAATGTTTGCGTCATCAAAACATTCCTACTGATATTTCAATTAATTTTTTTTACATCAAAGAGAAGCTAAAACATATATAATATAAAAACAAAACATCAGAGAAACATTTATAAAACATATTTCAGATGTTTAGCTATAATGTTATACCTAAATACTTTACCAGAAAACCTTATTTTATATTTGTGCCCATAGATTGTAACTTGATGGTCCATGAATGGTGGGAAATATGGGGGAAAGACAGACAAAGGTCTGATGGTTGAGAATGACAATTAGTCTTCAGTTATGAGGAAAGGAGACACTCAAACTATTGTCACTTCTCATAGCTCACCCAGTTTGGGTAGAAAGAATCGGACCCACTGCACCCACATCACACCCAACTTCCTTCCAAGCCATAGAAAATATGATGAAGCATATCTTGTCTTTGGCTTCACCTGGACAACGAAGATTTTCTTGTAAAACAAAAGGGGGTGTCACGGCGGGGTGCGCCGATGTGTGTGGAAACAGGACCCAAAAGCAGATGATGACGAGTAGTTGAAAGTTTGAGCAGAAAAGTGATCCTTTATTAGATGACGGCAGAAGTAAACCAGGAAACCAAAGTAAACTGACAAAACACTAAGAAACAAAACACTAAACGGTACTGAGACCAAAACCTAAACTATGACTGTGATGGAAAATAACCAGCAAATACTATGACTAAGACTAATGATGAATAACAGATGAAAACCATAACTAAGACCGAGGTCAAAATAAACAGAACCAGGCTAGAACTAGGGCAGAATAAACAGACTAAGACTAACGTGGAATTAACAGACGAAAACTAGAACTATGGCTGAGGTAAACAGACGAACCGACAATGGCATGAAGAAAACAAAAGGCTTAAATACAGACATGAGGTGATCAGGGGAAGTGGGGACACATGGGGAACAGCTGACAGACATAAACCTAATGACAGGACCAGGAGAGGAAAGCTAAATACAATGAACAAAGAACACATGACATTGTCAAAATAAAACAGGAAATACTAAAACTAAACATGACAACACAACTTAACAGACCTAATACGTGATGAATAAATACAAAACCCCAAAACATAGAAAACCCAGGAACAATAACTGCCTAAACTAAAGGCAGATAGGAAATAACACAAACTAAATCATATAACAAAATGAGACAAATACAAACATGAACTCAGAGCGCTGGGTCAGAGACCCAGCCTGTGACAGGGGGTCTAGAAAAAAAAGTTTGGGAACCACTGAGTTATAGGAAAGGAGATGCTCAAACTACTGTCACTTCTCATAGCTCACCCACTTTCGATAGAAAGAATCGCTGACTTTCCACAAGAAGGAGCCACTGGACCTACAGCACACAGGTCACCCAGCTTCATATAGAGCAAGGGCGGTAAAGCACAGATAAATTAATAAATTCACAATTCCAGATACATTCTGCTTTAAATGAGCACATTAGATGAATGCTCTCTTCCAGTGGATTCATGAACAACACTGAACTTCTGTAAAATATATTCAAATATACTCTCAGTCTGAAACAGCTCTGCAGTTCATTATAATTATAGGTGTAAAAACCCTCTGGTCAAACTAAAATAATAATTAAATTTTAAAAAAACATTAGATTAAAATAATAATATTAGTATTGATATTAATAATAATCACTGTTATGTTCTAATCACGGCTTCCACAATCTATATATTCAAGTTGATACTGTACCATTTTGAGTATTTCCAGAGCCTCTGATTGTTTCATAGACAGAACGATCACCTACAAGTCAGAGAAAATGATTCACCACATGATGTAAACACAAGTATTCTTGTCAATAACATTTATATTAAGTTAAGATAAGCTTTCATGTCAGTGTAAGCACAAACATACATTGAAATTGGAAATATGTTATTACTTATAAATGCTGTACATGATTAAATGTTGTTATTGTCTTAGTTTTGTTTAATTCAACAGTGTTAAAGCTGCAGCAGAGAAAAGCATCAGGATATTTTAAACTAAGATGAAAAACTAACCATGAAGAAGAGAGGAGTAGACTTGTTGTTGATTTTCATCCTGACTCACCCTCTGGTCATCGGCAGAACCTTTATTAAAATTCAAAATAAGACACTAACGTTCACATAGTTTATTATGTTTTATATAATATTGTGAACAGTTTTCAGTTTTGGAATGTTGCATCTCCATATTTAAATATTTTAAAGAGTAAAATATGTAACAGAAAAAAAAAAGTCTCACTTTCTTTCTGTAGACCTTTTTGTACAGGAACAGGAACAGGAGGAAAATAAATATGATTCCAGGAATGAGTCCAGTGATCATCAGAACCGGAAATGGAGAACTCGGCACAGCTATTGCAAATAAGGAAAATGAACTGTTATGTTATTAAACGTAACCGAATTGCACAAAGTCAGAGTTAAGTCTTAAAAGTAAACTCCAATTTAAATATATAACAATATTATATAACCTCTTCACTGAATTTGGCACACTTGACAACCTTTTAAATACTGGCACCACTTGCTGTAAATAACAGTCATGGTTCCTTTTAGGTTTGTCAAGTGATTTATGTTTGTGTTGTGTTCTCTGTTTTTAGTATTTAAGTGTGCCTATGCCAAAAGGCACACTTATTACTATTGCTCGGATTTATTATTATTGTGTGGATGCTTTAAGCATCCACACTATAGTGTTCCTGTTTCTCTTTATTCTTTATTATTGTGTGGATGCTTTAAGCATCCACACTATAGAGTTCCTGTTTCTCTTTATTCTTTATTGTGTGGATGCCTTAATAGGCATCCACACTATTGAGTTCCTGTTTCTCTTTATTCTTTATCTTTTCTTCATCTTCAAGTTGCTTCCGTACACTTTTCGGCGCTTAACTACTCCCTCAGTTTTCAGCCGATTTTCTCAGTTCAAACTCTAAACTGTTCTGCTCTTTCTGCTAATTCCAGCTATGACTTTTGGTGTTTATTACTATTATACTTTTTAAAATATTACACTTTTTTCCTTTAATTTGTCCCATTGAAATGAATGGGAAACTTCCACAATTCTGCTAAAACTTTCTTGTCTTTGAAACTTAACTACTGCCTCATACTTTCACCTAGAAACTCCATTCAAACTTTAAAATGTTCTCCAATTATTGGGCTATTCCTGTATGATTCAGCTTTTTCAGATCTTCTACCGTTTTCATCTTATCGCTCTTTAAGTCTTCAGTTGCAAAATTGTGATTTTTCAGAAAATACATGCGTTGCTATGGTTGCTATGCAATTAACTCCGAGGGGACAGTGAAACTGGTTGAATTTTCTCTTCATGTCTGAACAACTCCTTGCTACTCGCTCAATTTCCACTCAACTTCCACAAATTATACATCAAAACGTAGGTATTTTTGCTGGCTTTCAGGAAATGTCACTATCATTGTTGTGGGATTTATAGAATTTTGGCAAATCTCCTCAGATCAACACATGGTCAGAAAACTCTCCATATAAAGTCAATGGAGAGTTTGTTCAAAATCACCGCTGGATTTCTCTAATGAGAGGCATTTTCAAATTGTCATATCTCCTTAACGAAGCGAAGTTAAGACATGAGGCTTGTCCCCGTATATCTTCAGACACTCCTGACGCTCACAATTCAAGAATTTCTTTCTCACCTATTACCGTTCTGAAATGAGTTGGACTTGTTTGAGGGTAGGAAATTTGTCCTTCGCTCAGATTTCATCAGATTTCAAATTCTGGAAATGAACCACTTTTTTCTCTCGTCATATCTTTTTGATGGATTTCCACAGAGCCCTGAAAATTTCCATGACTGTTCACCAAAGCCTGCTGTCTCTTACGGTGAAAGAATGATTTTGATGCTCCATATAGATTTAGAGTTACCAAAGGTTGTTTGAGCGCAAGTCAAGGCAGTTTTTGCTTCGCCTCTACTCAGTTACAGTGTATTACAAGTCATATA